AAAAAAAAAAAAAAAAAAAGAGGAAAAACAGAGGGAGTCTCCTAGATGTAGAAATTCATAGTAGCCACTCCAGGAAAATAAATAGCATAAGAAAAGTCATAAAAGAAATAGTGAATTTGTAGAATTGCAACTAGATTGTTATGGCTGCAGAGCGTAGAATGAGAGAAAGGAGAGGAAAGATACAACTCATAGGTTAGGTAAAAAAATGGTTGTGAAGAACCTTATGTATCTTGGAAGAAAGTTTAAATATTATTATACTAAAGATAGTGAGGAGCTAAAAAAAAATTTCAAGCTGGAAGTACATGATTTGATATACAGGTTAGATCTTTCTGGAAGCTGTTGGGAGGATGGATTAAAAGGTAGGGCACAGGTAGAACAGGGGTGAGTTGGAAAGCCATTTCACTATTTAATATATGAGATAATGACATTCCAAAGCAATACAATAGCCATGGGAATGGATAGAAAGCCATGAATGGCAGAGCACATCTAGAGGTCAGACTTGATTACATATTGAATCTGTATGAGAAATGTATAAGTGAGATGAAGTGAAAAATGATTTTCTGTTTTGGGTAACTGGGTATTGGTGCCATTAAAGAGAGAGCTTTGTTTGGAATAAAAAAGGAGAGGCAAATTTGTAGAGAAAATCAAAGATTTAGGTATGTTGAGTTGAAGCTTCTAGAGTGTTATGGGCTGAACTGGACCCCTCTCCCCACAAAGTTCATATGTTGAAGCTCTCAACCCCAGTGTATGGTACCAGTGTATGGTATTTATAGATGGGGTTTTGAGGAGATAATTAGTTTAAATAAGGCTGTAAGGGTGGGGCCTTCATGATTGGACCAGTGCCCTTCTAAGAAAAAACACCAGAAAGCTTACTGTTTCTGATGTGTGAAGACACATTGAGAAGGTAGCTATCTGTAAGCCATGAAGAGCTCTCATTAAAGTCCACCCATGCTGCAGCCCCATCTTGGACTTTTGGCCTCCAGAACTGTAAGAAATTAAATTTCTATTGTTTAAGCCACCCAATCTGTGGTATTTTGTTACACAGCCTGAGCTAAGACATAGAAGTATTCAGGAAGTTGGATGACACAGATCTATCAGGAGGAGACAGATTGAAGTGTTGATTGATTTGGAAATTTTATATATATATATATAAAATATATAAAATAAAATATATATATTAAAATAATATATATAACAATATATATATTGTTTCCATAAGTAAACAATGTATTTGTTTATTATTAAAGAGATATTTACACTCAGATATTCAAGCCTGGCTATCCTAGAAGATAAAGTTTGCCCTTTTTTTTGCTCACTTGCAGTTTTGTGGGATTCATATATATATATATATATATATATGTATATCCATATATATATATATATATATATATATATATATATATATATATATATATATATATATGGAGAGAGAGAGAGAGACTGACTATAAAACCTTGTATGGCAAGAGATATTTTGTCTAGAAGTCAAAACATTAAAAAATACCTTAAGCACCACTCGTGTGGAAAAGAGTAAATGCACGTAGTTCTTTTTATTATTAAAATTAGGCTATTTCAAAATTTAAAATATTTATAATTAAAAATGAAACATCTGTACAATTATTAAAATTAGTTTTACTAAATAAGAATTGACAACATCTTGTTAACTCTTCTTTTATAGCAGATAACAGTGAAGAAATCAACAAAAAATAATTACTAAAACTCCACTCTGGATCAAGAGAAAATGTCTCCAGTATCAACTCACACTTTCCTATTAAGTATAAAAATGAGTGTAACTGCTGCTTGGACAATTGGTTATACAGATACTCTCTCCATTACTATTTGTTCAATAACGTACATAAGTTCAAAACTGGCAGGGATGAAAAAATGAGTTTTCCCTGCAGAATTTTTCATGTTGCACTTAGAAAATAAAGATGAATAAATCTTATCTCACACACACCAAAGACTTACACCATACCTCTTCTCATACAGGCAAATGAAATATTAACATGTAGCATTCAAAATAATAAATATACATACTATTTACAATAATTGGGAATGTTGGAGACATGAACTTTTGTGTAAAATCATTCTGATTAAAATTTTTTAACTTCAGGTTGTATTCGCAAATACTTCTCTTTCTGTCCTATTTGATCTTTTAGCTCAAATAGAATTAAAGTGAAATGTGTCTGTAGATATAAAGTTGAGAATGTGTATTCAGTCACTTGGCTCTGTGATAGTAATCTTCTGTACCATGTCAGAGAGATTTTCAGACTCCACATCTTCTTTGCCATTATCTGAATTTTCTGATGAGATATAACAACCAGAGTCCCTTGGGCAGTCCTCTAACTGTGACTTATTTAAGGAGATGTCTGGGCTTAAGGATAGGGGCACAGATTCATTTTCTTGCTCTTGAATAGCTGTAAATGGAAAAGAGGGCAGTAGTTAGGAGAAGCCAAGACAAGTTTTATTCATGCACTCATTCATCTTTGAGCCATTTAACTGTACCAACCTTGACTTCATTACATTTGAAACTTCCATAAGTAAACAATGTATTTGTTTATTATTAAAGAGATATTTACACTCAGATATTCAAGCCTGGATATCCTAGAAGATAAAGTTTGCCCTCTTTTTTGCTCACTTGCAGTTTTGTGGGATTCATGTGAACTGCTTGCATAAGCGAAGATCAATATGGACTCTCATTTTACATTAATGATAAGTTGCCAGAGAAAGCAGATTGTATCCACAGTTTGACTGATGCCTTGTCCAAATACTCCTTAAAGTAACATTAGAAAAAGTCTTTTGTAGTTTAACTGTACAATGCACCTCAATAGTGATCTTTGTGAACAATTCTAGAATCATGATAATGTAAATTAATGAAAAAAAAAATCTCTGTGGGCAACAATGTACAGTTAGACTTCAATTACTTGGAATTTAACTAATAAAACTTAAAGCACTCAGATTTTCCTATGTTTGCATTCAACAGAAAAATCAACATAAGAACGAGGTTGCTTTTAGATAGTAAAACACCACCATTTTCATTGGATCTGAATTGTTTGGTTTTTCTTCTACATCTCTGTAGTTCTGGATAACAATTATTTATATTCAGATTGGTGACTGTTATCACAGCAGTATTCTAGATTCCATAGACAGTTTCTTTGAAAAAAAATTGATATTAGAGATGTAACAAAATATTTACATTTTTGTAATATTTTTCATGTTTATAAATTTTGAGAGAGAGAGAGAGAGAGAGAATCTCAAGCAGGCTCCAAACTATCAGTGCAGAGCCTGATGTGGGGCTCAAATTCATGAACTGTGAGATCATGACCTGAGCCAAAATCAAGAGCCAGAGTCCTCAACTGGTTGAGCTACCCAGGTACCCCAGAAAGTATTTTTAAAGAACCTAAGCAGCACTATAAAGTTACTCTTCTCAAGAATCCTTCAGCATCAATGTTCTCTTTGTCAATGCAAAGTTTCTTTCTATGACTTCCCTGACACCAGTAAATGTGTGTTTCTCTGCATCATGAGATGGGGTCCTCAGGGAGGAGATGTATCTTAGGTCACCACCTGTCAGCAATATCAGCATGTCTAGCTCTTTCCCCTTCTAACCCCAGAGCTTCCCCACGTTGCATGATGTGAGTAACTCCACTTTGGAAGAACCAAACATACATTTCAGGGTGGGACAAGACCTCTGCTGTCAGAGACTATGTACTTCATCCTATTCTAGTGAGGAGAAAATAAATCCCAACTTCAAAATCCTGGAAGAAGGAAACTGTAATTTTCCTCAATAGACTTTTAAAAAGTAAAATGCTAAGTAATTTATCTTTAAGAAATCCACCCCTTGTCTTCTCTACAAATATCCCACTTTTTGAATGCAGTTTCTAGGCTCCAGGTATCTTGTCAACATTATGTTCTACTGTGTATCCAATTGTTATCAACATCCTTTATGGGAAAGAATTGAGCCCTGGTGCCCTGAAGCATCCTTGTATGTAATGAATTAACTTCAATGTATCTAGAATGGTACTCTTTTACAAAGCATCCATGGAAGAATGGAGAAAAGAGTCACATTATTTTTTGTATTCTGTGGTTTGGATGAGGAACACGGGTTGAGAAAGTTTGGGGAAAAGGATAAAGATCATTTTAGTCTACTCATCTTCAAAATGAATCATAACAGTTCTTTTAACCTTTTCCTCAAAGCTTTAATTTCCAACAATAAAATGTTTATGCCATTATTCTGAACGTTTGCTATATTTGCCACAACTTTATTTTTTTATTTATTCTTTTTATTGAGAGAGAGAGAGAGAGAGAAGGAGAGAAAGAGTTAGTGGGGAGGGGCAAAGGGAGAGGGAGAGAGAGAGAATCTTAAGCAGGCTCCAAATCCAGTGCTGAGCCCAACTCAGAGCTTCATCTCAAGATAGATCGTGAGATGATGACCTGAGCCGAAATCAGGATCCCCATGCCACAACTTTATTGAGGTGTGGATTCAAGAATCAGATATTTAAGTCTGGTGATGTTTTAACTACTTCTAGGTATAAGGAGCTTTAATTTTAATATGTATCAATTGAGATTGTTATTTAAAAATTTTAGCTACCATGAAACATTTTCTCTTTGTTAGTCTTAGCAACTTTTTAAGTTTAGGAGGAATCTTCTTAACTTCATTAGTGTTTGTGAATAAGGGTCATTAGGTTTTGTTTCCAAGCCCTTCTGCTATGAAAAGACAGCGATGAAATGGGACCGCATTCTCTGAAGAAAACCTAGCTCCCCTGCCTCTGCTTTTGTATCTTATTGCCACTGAAATGAAAGAACAAGCTCTGAGTTTTATTATCCAAGTGTTTCTGGAAAAGGCCGGAGAAATTAGTCCTTTTGTAATGCTTCCTGCTACATCAGCAGTGATTCACCATATTTGGAGTGTGAGCTGAGCCATATTTCCCCAGATTGTATTTGGGCCTACCACCTCAACACAAAATTAAAAGAACAGAGTTAATTCCCTTCAGACTGACATTTTTTTTTTTTTTCAACGTTTATTTACTTTTGGGACAGAGAGAGACAGAGCATGAACGGGGGAGGGGCAGAGAGAGAGGGAGACACAGAATCGGAAACAGGCTCCAGGCTCTGAGCCATCAACCCAGAGCCCGACGCGGGGCTCGAACTCAGGGACCGCGAGATCGTGACCTGGCTGAAGTCGGACGCTCAACCGACTGCGCCACCCAGGCGTCCCCAGACTGACATTTTAAACGGAGCTTGGCATAATAAAAACTGCTCCCAATACTGTGTTCTATTTAGATTGATTACAGATTGTGGGCCCTCTTTAAGATATAACATTTAGACTTAAAGAATTCTGATTTCCAAAACCAGCTCTTTTCCTTTCAAAAGATAAGTACTTAGCTTGTTATTTCATCCTCAGAAGGCTGTGTCCATTCACCTCAAAGGGTAACAAAGAAAACAAACAATAAATGAAAATCTGACTTTAACAGAGACTATGTCATTTTTTAATATTGGTAATAAAATGTATTTGTTTGTTTTTAGTTTCACACGAGAAATGCTATATCACATTCTCTCAATTCTAGGAATTGGTTTGTTTTAAATACAGATTATTTATTGTAGAAACCTTTTATCTGCAATTTCTATGGAAAAAGGAAATAGTTTCTCAGTATGAAAGTTATGCAGCACAGTAATTTACAGAACAGCAGTAATTTGCTAAATGATTTCCTAGTGAAGTGAAAACATGACTATGCGTCCTCAAACACTTCCCACCAGGCTAGCAATAATTTCAGGCAGGTGATCAGCTAGAGCCCCTCAACTGTAACTATAAAAAGAAAAGGCAGGCCATTATGTTATATTATGGGAATGAAAGCTATATAGTATTCAGTTTTTGTGTTTGGAGGTCAAGGTTTTCCTTTTCTTCTTTTTTTGTTTTGTTTTGTTTTTGTTTTTTCCATCTTGACACTAATGGCTTCGGGATTGGCACAAACCTAGGTCTAGTGCTATGGATAGTTTTTCCAGCACAGGGGATGAATTCATGCTAATATATCCATATTTTCTTTCTAAATCATTTAGTCCCTTCATGTGCCCGTGAAACAGAGTAAAGCTAACTGACCTACCTAGACCTGAAGCTAACTGATAACCTTCTTCGGTTTTGGCCCATGGTCCAATCATCTGAGCTAACCAGGCAAATACATTGGAATAAGGAACAGTTTGCCTCCAAAATTATAGACTTACCATTATGAGATATGAGTGCATCTTTGTTTAATATCAAAGTGTTTTCTGATAATATGTCAAGTTAAAAAAATGAGTATATATGGTTAAGTATTCTATTATCAACAATATGTGACAACATATAGGCATATGTATATAATTCACAAATGAAAGTGTTAAAATTTTAGATAGATTTCCTCTTTATTTCTCACATTACCATAATGTTTTGTGTTTTAATAAAAAACAAAACAAAACAAAAAAATAAAATGGTACAGTTTTTCAATAAGCCCCTGAATGGTTTGCAAATACTCCGAAGACTATACATTTTCAAATCTGGGTATATTGGGGAATTATTAAATAATTTGAAAAAGGGTGTCTCTTATCACTGCCAGTTAACAGCAGGGATACTCGGAAGGCCAGAAAGCAGCCCCAAACAGTTCTGTACTCTATATAATGAAAATAAAATAATTATGTTAAGAAATAATTATTGAGGAAATATTTTGTCATAAAGAGCTAATCTGAATATTAAAATATTTTATTTCTTACCAAAATGTTTATGGAATTATGTAAAGCCCATGGTTCAACATTTTAAGATAGTCATCAATAAAGATAAAAAGTGGCATGGTGATTAAAACAGAAGACAGCTAATATAATTATTCATAAAATAATTATATTGGAATTGTGACATTTAATTTATTAAATATAGGCAATTTCAATTATACTAAAAGTGAAGAAAGCTTTAAGGAAATCAAACTAAATCCTAATGCTGGAGAAAAGTTCTCATATTCTAAAGAGAGAAATCTGTCCTATATTCACATAGGTTTCTTTCTCAGGTTTCTTCACCCAAATATTTCAGATTTTAACTTTACTGTCTTGTGTGTCTTAGGTATAATGCTTCTGCCTCCTTTGGGCTTCTGTTTCATTATAACATAATGCAATCTAGAGGGCATAGGAAAATGCCTGGCCATGGAAAGTGCTCAATAAACATATTTTTTAAATAAAAAGAACGTGATGTTCAGATTAATTAAAGGAAATAGGCCCTAAGATCAAATAAGAAATGTTGTTGAAATTCAAATGAATATGCCTCTTGCTTTTTGAATTACTATCCTCTTTTTCTCTACTGGTGCCGGCTCCAAAGAGAAAAAGCCAAAGTTATGTCATCCTCTTTGAGGATGGCTCAAAACCTCACCCTCGTGTTGGAGCCCCACTTGAGTCTTTCAGAATA